CGCCATCAACCCTGAAACCAAGAAAAGTTCCCAACTTCATACTATAAACTTGAGAAGTGTTATCCAGAAAATGAAATTGGACCAAATTGAAAGAAGCTGCTGAAAAGAAATATATGTATTCTTCAAAGACAAGAATGAAATGTGGAAAAGTACAAGGAGGGAGTTCTGAAAAGTCTCACTGTTTTTGAAGGCTCTGGCATAAGGGTTCCTAGAAAGAAGGGCTGGTACAACCCACACCTCCATCAGGGAACCTTTCTTCCGTCAAGAGGACTGCTTCCCCACCCCAAGCCCCAGCAGGCGAGAAGAGTCTTTCCTGACTTTGGTATGTCAGTAAGTGGGCATGAAAGAGGGGAAGCTTCTGCTGGGAATAATTCTTACAGCCAAACCAAGGAAAAGCTCCACAAGACATGGGGAAAGACTGTTTGTCCCCACCCAAGTCAAAAGCCGACGATACACCCCTTACTCACTGAAGCAAAGCTCCGTTGCATTGATTTCATTAGTATTAAGGAAAGAAGTCAGTGGCAGTCATCCACAGCCCCAGCTCTCTCTCCCACCAATCTCGGGAAGCCCAAAGACCAGATAAGGCACATCAATCATGCACACCCAGTCCATGTTATCAGTGGAAGAATAAAATAACTCACCATCAAACAGTATCCAGGGCAAATGGCATTCTGAGGAGGAATGGTTCATATTCGTCAGAGTTTCCAGGTCACACTGACTGGAGACTGAGGCAGAAAATCTGCACAAACAGAAAAAGAAAGTAGCACAGGGACGTCCCTGGTGGCCCAGCGGCTAAGACTCTGAGCTCCCAATGCTGGGGACCCAGGTTCGAGCCCTGGCCAGGGAACTAGATCCCACATGCCACAACCAAATAAATACACCTGTGCAACCAAATAAATAAGTAAAGGTTTAAAAGAAGAGAAAGTAGCGCAGCCTCCTGAAGACAAGGACTAGATTTCAAATAGTCCTACCAATCGATGCACACGAGTTCCAGACACCCGCCAGGCACACTTTTCAGTGTTCTGTGTATAGTGAAACCTTTAATCCTCACACCACCACTGCAGGATGAGCACCATCGTCATCCACATCTTTTCTTTTTTGTTTTGGCTGTGCTGGGTCTTGGTTCCCGTGCTCGGACCTTCTCTGGTTGCGGTGAGCGGGGGCTGCGCTCTAGTTGCAGTGCTCAGGCTCATCGCGGTGGTGTCTCGTTGCAGAGCGCAGCCTCCAGAGTGGGGGCTCAGTAGTTTTGGAGCACAGGCTTCGTTGCTCCGTGGCACGTGGGATCTTCCCAGACCAGGAATTGAACCCGCGTCCGCTGTATTGGCAGGCGGATTCTCAACTACTGGACCGCCAGGGAAGTCCTATCATCCTCGTCTTATGGATAAAAAGGTGCAGGCACAGAGGGACTGGGAAGTTTGCCCCAGTTCACCCAGCTGGTTGGAGTGGGCCAGGGTTTTGACACAGTCTGGTCCAGAGCCTGTTCTCCACGCCTCTGCTCTTAAACCCCAGGAAACAGACATTTTAGGCAACTGCCTTGTACTCAAGGAAATTAAAGAGAATAGAAATTTACTGGCCATGCACCCTTTCTTGGGAGCTACTGGAGGGAGGGAAACCAAGAGGAAGAAGACGTAAGTTCAAGAATCAGGGATCTAGTGTGGAAGAGACCTTTAAAAGTCCCAGGATAGGAACTTTGCAGTGAGCCCAAAGAGCATATGGACAGAGGGAACCTCAAAGAAGAAAACATTCTAGTGATGAGCTTGACAGTTGGAAACATTATTGCTGATCATTTGATGAGTCTGGTAGAACATTGGAAAAATTAGCATAAGTATTTAGGAAATAAGGCACATTTTTAAAAAACCAGACAGTTATTACCTGTAAAAGCAAATTTATATAATAAAGTGAAGGAATGATAGCCAATTATGCTCCTTAGCACAGTGATGAACCAAATTCATATATAACATATATTATGTATACATGTATTATACAAACTATTTATGCAATATATAATATAGCTAATATAACATATAACAACGTAAACACTTTAAAATTTTGATGTAATTATTGAGTGATAAAGGAGTGGTAACAGTGATGATAAGAGAGCTAACTCACCAACTTCTGTAATTTGGATAAGATCTAAAAAGATTTACCAAGAAATAACAGCCTATATGTATTATTTGTAAATACCAGAAGCAATTAGAATAGCTGGAATGGGATGACACTGTGAACTGAGGCGGTGGGCTTAGGTGGGCAACGGGAAGGACTACTGACTTTTTATAGCATTTTTGTGCTGTTTGATTTTTCAGCTACATGAAACCAAATTTAACCAAGGACACAGATGAAATCTCCAAAGCTGTCAAAAACCAACCAAAAACCCTACCCCTTAAAAAGCACTTACACATTTTTTTTCAGATTACTGAAGAGTCTAACCAAAAACATTTTAACAGAAGTCTCTATAAAACACTTCTTAAAAATTAAAGATAGCCTCCAACTAATAAAAATAAATGGAAAAAATAAATAAATAAATAAATAAACCTGAAAAAAAAATAAAACCAAAAAAAAAAATTAAAGATTGCTTTTCTACATAGATGTGGCTCCAGGGAGTCTTAATATTTCTCTTAAAAAAAAAACAACAACAAACAGTATGAGAGTTTAAAAATGTGTTTTCTTTAAGCAATTGAATCACACAGTTCCACCCTGTAATTGTACTCTTGGTTTTTCCAGATACTAAAGAAGGGACCTTTATTTTAGCATTTGGGTAGAGGCCTCACACAGCCACGTGTGTGATGGATTCAGCTACAGGAGGAAAGGCATCTTGACTAAAATGGGTGGCTGGGCTCATGGCACACGCAGCCATGAGTCACTTTTCACTGCCTCTTTGTCTCTATATATTCTGTTTATACTTGAGCTCCAGGTTCCTCACAAATTGCTCCTGTCGTGTTTCCCTCGCATATCATGGTTTCTCTTGATCCATTAGTTCCTCTTCGGGGTCTGTGAATGACCTCTGCATGTTTGTGCAGCAGGCTGGAAAGGAGAGGCAGTGCAGCTTCGTGGTATGTTTAGGAACCTTTGCGAAAACCAGCCTATAACGGCTAAATGAAAGAGGCATGGGGGAACTCTCCTCCGTGTTCTGGGGTGCCCTAATGGGAAGGAAACCTAAAAAAGAGCGGCTGTATGTATACAAATGGTTGATTCACTTTGCTCTGCAGCAAGGGATTACTATAGCATTATGAAGCAATTATACTCCAATAAAAGTTAATTTAAAAAATATATTTTTTTAATCACCTTAAAAAAAGAGAGAAAAAGGCATCACAGGACTTCCGTGGTGGTGCAGTGGATAAGAATCCGCCTGCCAGTGCAGAGGAAGGGTTCAATTCCTGGTCTAGGAAGATCCCACATGGCAAGGAGCAACCAAGCATGTGGGCCACAACTCCTGAGCCCACGCGCTGCAACTACTGAAGCCTGCACGGTCCACAGCCTGTGCTCCGCAACCAGAGACGCCACCCCACTGAGAAGCCCACGCACCGCAATGAAGAGTAGCCCCCGCTCGCCACTAGACAGAAGGTGATGCAGCAGTGAAGACCCAGCACAACCGTAAATAAATAAATGATATTTTTTTAAAAAGGCATCGCCTAAGTTTTTCTGAGAGAAATTGGTGGCCACAGATGGGGATCTAAGAAGAAATAAAAGAACCCTGAGCAATTCTGGAGAATTCATACTGTGTGGGCTTTGAATTAAAGGTTTACTTTCTTGGTCCTTAGAGTCCAGAGACAGGGAGAGAAAGCACCATCAACCTAGAAATTCAGACAGTCATTTAAGTCGCAGCAGTGAGTATCACCTGGATGGTGGTGGCAGCGTGTCCAAGGAGGGTATCCAAGAAAACAGTGAGGAGGTTTGGGGTCTCGGAACTGTAGTAGCAGAAAGGAAAAGAAAGCAGTTTATACTGGAAATACTGCAGAAGAAAAGATGCTGCTGCTAAGTTGCTTCAGTCGTGTCCGACTCTGTGCGACCCCATAGACGGCAGCCCACCAGGCTCCCCATCCCTGGGATTCTCCAGGCAAGAACACTGGAGTGGGTTGCCATTTCCTTCTCCAACGCAGGAAAGTGAAAAGTGAAAGTGAAGTCGCTCAGTCGTGTCCGACTCTTAGCGACCCCATGGACCGCAGCCTACCAGGCTCCTCCGTCCATGGGATTTTCCAGGCAAGAGTACTGGAGTGGGATGCCATTGCCTTCTCCAAGAAGAAAAGATACATTTGGTAATAGAGAGCATAGTTAGGAGAAGAGTCAATGATGAAGATTATACCAAATTTCTTTTTACTTGAGAGGTTGAGAAGGATGGGATCCTGAGAAAAATATAAGTAATCTATGACTTCACTTTGCTTGGATAAAGCAGGCACTGAGACGTTTACATATTGTCTGATTGGTTTCTGAGCACTGCAAACATTGGACAAAGATTCATATATCAGTCATCTGTTTTTTACCCTCTCCCCAGGAATACATCTAAATTCTTGGGAGTTTACATAACACCCAGGGAGGGGGGCTGCACAGACCGTGAATAAATCAGTTCATTCCTCCACTGCAACATTATACTAGCAGCCGATGTGTGTAGTCTGTGCAAAGCTAGGTTTCATAAAAGAACTGTGGATGTTGATGGCTTTGGGTTCTGACTCATCTTGCTTCCTTTCAACATTCTTAAAATATTTATCCAAGGATAATGGTATTTTGGCTTTCTTCTTTTCGTGACCTCAGAGTTAAAACAGGGCTGTGCTTCAGGCTCCACACACACTCCTTTGTCAATAGTGAACCCCCTAGACTGTGAATCAAAATGACGGGTGTGCCTCCTGGCGCCATCTGTTGGTGGCAGGCAGAATTGACATGCGTCGGCGTCCGCTGATTTTATGATATATGCACATTTCCAGGTTGCGCATCTAAGTAAAGGAGCGTCTGTGATTTCAAAGTGATCCAGCGACATCTTCCTTTTTTTATTTTCCTCTATCATGAAGGTGTGGCGGGGCACCCTGGCCCGCATGCGGTACAAGAGGACCAAAGCAGCACTGACAATTATCAGATACTACCGTCGTTACAAAGTCAAGTCCTACATCCACGAGGTGGCCAGACGCTTCCACGGCATCAAGACCATGAGGGACTATGGCAAGCACGTGCAGTGGCCAACCCCGCCTAAAGTTCTTCACCGTTTCGAGGAGGTCCTACAGGCCATTTTTAATAGGTAAGAATCTGTTGATATGTGCAGAATCCGTGTAAGGCAGTACACTTACTAGATAAAGTTACAAACCTGAGACCATGACATTAGCTCCACTATTTGCTATAGGACATCGGTTTTTCCCAGGTGGCTCAGACGGTAAAAAAAAAAATCTGCCTGCAATGCAGGAGACCCAAGTTTGATCCCTGGGTGGAGAAGATCACCTGGAGGGGAGGGCATGGCAACCCGCTCCAGTATTCTTGCCTGGAAAACCCCATGGACAGAGGATCCTGGCAGGCTATACAGTTCATGGGGTCACAAAGAGTGGGATACGACGGAGCAGCTAACATTTCCATTGACTTTTACCTTGTGTCTTCACCTTCATGATTTCACTGTCAAAGGGCATCTGCTTACCCCTCAAAAAATAGAACCGTCTACTCGTTTTTCCTGTAGCAGTAGTCAAGCTAAGATAAGCTATTAGCATGATGTCTCTACTTTCTTTTATTGTTTGCTGTTAGAATTACCACATATCACTCACACTAGAAGTCTGTTATCCTTTCAGAGCAGCAGTTCTCTGTCCACACCTGACAATCACAGAGAGTTTGTCAAACACCCCGAGGCCCAGGTCCCACGTCTGAAAAGTCGTATTTAGTGGTGCTGGGGAGCACAGCTCAAGCGGGGGTCCTGGGTGGTTTTAAAATAAAAGAAAGAAAACACTATTATAGAGCAAGCTATTTGTAAAAACAAATAAGTAAGTAAATTAATTAACATCCATGTCACATTTGATACCGTCCCAGCTAATCTTCATTTTTTTATAAACTGCCCTGAATCTGACTTTGCAGTTATTCATAGCTCCTTTCTTCTTGTTTTTTTAAGCTGGTTTGTTGCCAGTATGCACCAGATATATTTAGCTATGTCTTACATACAGCATCTAGTCGTGTGAACTAAGTTGGATGTATGTTTTTAGTCCCTAAGATGCGTCTGACTCTTTGCAACCCCATGCACTGTAGTCCACCAGGCTCCTCTGTCCATGGGATTGTCCAGGCAAGGATACTGGAGTGGGTTGCCAGTTCCTTTTCTAGAGGGTCTTCCTGACCCAGGGATCGAGCCCGAGTCTCCTGCATCGCAGGCAGATTCTTCACCTCTTGAGCCATTGTTGTTCAGTCCCTAAATCGTGTCCTACTCTTTGTGACCCCACGGACTGCAGCGCACCAGGCCTTCCTGTCTGTCATTATCTTCCAGAGTTTCCTCAGACTCATGTCCATTGAGTCGGTGATGCTATCCAACCATCTCATCCTCTGAGCCTCTGGGAAAGCCCTATAAACTAAACTCTGCTAAATTGCTTCAGTTGTGTCTGACTCTTTGTGACCCCATGGACTATAGCATGCCAGGCTCCTATAAGCTAATGGTTCTCAAATATGGTCATTTGGCATCATGATAGTCTACCAAGTACGCCATGAACTGATTGATGTATTGAATGTAAACTGGTGGCAGATATCAAAGATTAAAAAAAAAAACTCATGGGAGGAAAGCTCTTTAATATGTATCTCATTTTCTTTCAAAAAAAAAGATTTGTTCATACAAAGAAAAAAATAGAACAGTAGAAAATTACTGAAAGCAAAAGAACCTCAACCCTCCATTCTCCAGTGTAACCCATAAATGTTAGCTGTGAATCATGGCAGAACCTTCTTGGTGCACAGATAAATTCTTTTCATGAATTATATCATCTGTCACCTGCATTTTTTACATAATCTAAGAAGTAAGTATGCAATATGTGAATACATGCTCATTTTTTTAAGTGACATAATATGAAAATTTATAGGATATAAAGTTGAAATCCTCCACACTTTCTCTTATCTTTTCTTTCTTTCCCCTAAGATAAGCACTCATTAACAATTAGTTTGTACCCACCTAAATCTTTGTCTTTACATTTAAAAGCATATAATACACATATAAGAGAAATATGATATAGTGGTTAAGAACACGAACCCTGGAATCTAGGTGCCACTGGCTAGCTGTGTAACCTTGGGCAGATGAATTAACCTCTCTGTGCCTCTGTTTTCTTATCCGGAAGAGGGCCATTATCATAGCATCGGCTCACAGGGTTCTGAAAGGATTATGAGTAAATATATATAAAGCATTTCAGATAGTGCCTGCACATAGCAAGTACTATGGAAATGTTTGCTCATACTCCCTGGGTTTCTTTCCCTCTCTTTCTTTCCACAGTTTAGTTCAGTCACTCAGTCGTGTCCAACTCTTTATGACCCAATGGACTGCAGCACACCAGGCCTCCCCATCCATCACCAACTCCCGATGTTTACGCAAACTCATGTCCATTGAGTCGGTGATGCCATCCAACTGTTTCATCCTCTGTCATCCCCTTTTCCTCCTGCCTTCAGTCTTTCCCAGCATCAGGGTCTTTTCCAGTGAGTCAGTTCTTTCCATCAAGTGGCCGAAGTATTGGAGTTTCAGCTTCAGCATCAGTCCGTCCAATGAATATTCAAGACTGATTTCCTTTAGGATGGACTGGTTGGATCTCCTAGCTGTCCAGGGGACTCTCAAGAGTCTTCTCCAACACCACAGTTCAAAAGCATCAATTTTTCGGTGCTCAGCTTTCTTTATAAGCAGGAGTCTGTGTGTGGCTGTATGACTTTACTTAAAAATAAGTCTTGGAGACCTGTCCATCACAGTAAATAAAGATCTATGTCATAATTTTAACGACTGCAAAGAATTATTGATTTGATAATGTTGCAGTGTAGACTGTACAGTCTTCTTTTTTAAGGCTTGGAGGTTTTATGTATGACCTAGAATTGATTATTTTGTGTCAAATTCAGTTGATTTACTCAGCAGATATTTACACAGAGCCTGCTGTGTCAGAGCCACTGACCTAGGTTTCGTGGATACAGTGATAAATAAGAAAGCTGTGAAAGACCATCCCCAGCCTTCTTAGGGCTTATAGTCAACAAGCATTTTGAAAATAATACATCTGCTCTGTCTGTTGATTGTACACACACACACTGAATCTTGCCAGTTGGATTAATCTAGTTCAAAGGCATTGTTTTTCTGTAAAGGGCCAGATAGTAAATATTTTAGGGCTTATGGGCTCCACATGGTCTTTGTCACATAGTTTTCTTTGTTTTGTTGAACACATAAAAACTATTCTTAGCTCCATGGGTGAGTTTTGGCACGGGCTGTGGTTTACCAGCCCCTGGTCCCATTGTTGCATGGTATTTAACTGATCCTTGCACTTTTGATCTGTGGAATCCTGAGAGAAGTGTGTTCAAGGATTTTGGTCTGAATCATGGGACCTCTTTTTCTTATAATATCTCCATGTGTCTAGTCGTGTTTCAGCCCTCCTCTCGTTCCTCATAGCAGTTCTTTTTCATCCTGGGAAGGCTGGGTACCTTCCTCTCGCCCAGCTTCTTCCTGGGGTCAAGGCTGCTGAGTTTGGCGGGGGCAGCTATTGTCCGCTGCACGTGTTTAGGAGATGGAGGTTTGCTTGACCAGGAGGAGAAATGTGTGCTCATCCCCCGCCCTGCCCACCCGCCCCCCAGGTTGGGTGGGTCAGATCTGAATTCCCCAGCACAGCTCTCTGCCAGCGGCCCCTGGGGTCAGCCGCGGTGGACCTGGTCCTGGGCCGCTGTGGGCAGTGAAGAGGGGAAAGACTGACCCGACACATGGCCTCCGTGGCCCTGTGGGCTCTGGCCCCAGCTCTCTCCCTGACACCCCCTCCTCGGTCCCCCTGCCACAGGCTCCGGCTCCGGCTCACAGGACTCCTTGCTAGCCCCCTCAGACACCAAACCAGCTCACACGTTAGAATCTTGGCACTCACTGTCTTCTCGTCCTGAAACACTCCTGCCCAAGCATCCATACAGCGGGCTCCGGCGCTTCCTGCTCATCTGTCCTTGTCAGGGCACCTTCCAGACCACCCTCGGCGTTAACACCTGCTCCCTGTTCCTTCCTTGTGGCACTCCTCCCCGCCCTTCCTTGGCTTCTTTTCTTTCACGGCCCTAATCCCACCATCCACACCGTGTGTTTACTCACTCTCTGATTTCTCATCTGCCTCTGCTTTCTGGGGCTTCCCTGGTGGATCGTTGGTAAAGAACCCGCCTGCCAATGCAGGAGACATAAGAGATGTGGGCTCGATCCCCAGTTGGAAAGATCCCTTGGATGAAGGCATGGCAACCGTCTCCACTATTCTTGCCTGGAGAATGCCATGGACAGTGGATCCTGGTGAGCTATAATCCGTGGGATCACAAAGAGTCGGACATAACTGAGCAACTAACGCTAAACTCTGCTTTCTAGAACATCAGCACCTAGCAGAAAGGATCTTCGTCTGTTTATAGCTGTGCCTCCACTCCCTCGAACAGCATCTGAAGTGTAGTAAGTGCCTAGGAAACATTTGATGAATGAATAAATGATGAAGCCAGAGTTCCTATGCCCTAACTGTAGACGTTAAGAGAGTCCATGTATCACTAAGTTCTGGTTGCTTCCAAAACATGCAAACAGCAAAGGAAGTTTTACAAAAATCTCTGTCCACATAAAACTGTTATGTGTTTTAACACATTCTATGTGTATTTTGGAGGCTTTTTTTTTTTCAGGGTAATGTGGAAGTAATTTAATTCTACTTAAAGGCAGCTTCAGTTATTTTTGAGAATGAATAGGATGGTATTTTTAAAGTCTAAAACATTTTGTTTGTTTGCTTATAGATGGAGAGCATCCCAACTTATCAAGACCATACCTGCTTCAGACCTGCCTCAAGTTAGGGCAAAGGTTGCAGCCGTGGAAATGTTGAAGGGTCAACGGGCTGACCTTGGGCTCCAGAGAGCCTGGGAAGGCAACTATCTTGCTTCGGTAGGTCCAGGAGAACAAAGTGGAATCTGCTCCTGCTCCTTTAACAGAGAAAGAGGAGAAATTTCCTCCAGGAATTTCTATAAGGATTAAGACACCTTCAGAAGCTAAATCTTATGAGAGACACTGGACTAAAAGATTGTCCAGCTTCTAAGTGTACCATGAGTATATGTCCCTCACTTTAAAGAGAGTTACCAGGACTTCCCTGGTGGTCCAATGGTAAAGAATCTCCCTTTCTAAGCAGGGCAGGCAGATTTGATCCTTGTCTGGGGAAGTAAGATCCCACATGCCTCGGATCAACTAAGCCCACGAGCCACCACGTTTGAGACCATGAGCCACAACTAAAACCTGACGCAGTCAAATAAATATATATTAAACCAAAAAGAGAGAGAGCGTGTTCTCTGCCTTCTATCCATATGAATTAGGTACATTCAATAACCTGGCTTTGATCATTTAAACTTTCTCTTGCATAATTCAGCAACTATTTTTAATTACCCACCGTTGTATCAGTAATTCCCAGAGGTGTATTTCATCCTCTCTCCCATTCTTGATTTTTATAATATTCAAGGATCTTTGGTGCTAGAATAACCCTTTAGTAGCTTATCATCTGGGATGGGGAGGTAAAAAAGGACCTGTGTGAAAATACATGAGCAGAGTTATAAAGTAGTAAAAGATGATGTTTTCATCTAAAATGTTAAGCATACACCTTTTACTATGTTTCCTGTTTCTTTCAGAAACCAGATACACCTCAGACCTCAGGCACATTCGTCCCCGTTGCGAATGAACTGAAACGGAAGGACAAATACATGAACGTCCTCTTTTCCTGTCATGTCCGTAAGGTAAGGCAAGCTTGAAACGGACCTCCTTGGAAAGAAAAGACTGCTTCAGGTGAAACTGACTTAGCTATAACCACAGCGAAACAGAACAATAGGTCCATAACTGGCTACATCATCCTTGGGCTCTACCTGTATATATGGTGAGGCATTGATGGAATGACTGAAGTGACTACAATATTAGGGTTAGGCTATAAAGTCTAATTAGGGGAGTAAATATGTTTGTTAGCCAGGCAGGAGGAAATGTGGACATACCCTAAGAATGAAGAGCAAGAAAAGTGGCAGCTACATGGGTAAATAAATACATAATCTTTTTCCTATCACTTAATCTCTTTAAAAGATCATTGAGTGTACTTCAGTGTTCATAGCAGCATTCTTCACAGTAGTTAAAGGTGGAAACAGCCCAAATGTTCATCAATAGATATACGAATAAAGAATACATGTATCCATTCAATGGAATACTGTTCAGCCATGAAAAGGAATGAAATACATGCTACAATGTGGATGAACCTTGAAGATATTATCTAAGTGATAAGACACAAAAGGACAAATATTTTTTGATTCCACTTCCATGAAATATCTTAGAACAGTCAATAGAAATAGAAAGTGGAATTGTGGTTACCAGGGGCTGGGGGGAGTGGGTAGTGAGGGATTCTTACATAATGGATGTTAGCGTTCAAATACTCTGCGGAAAAACAGATAACTCAACATTATACAGACTTTCAAACAAACTAGAGAGCAGCCTGTTTTAAACTTCAAATGAAATGTCACCATGGAAAGCTTGCCGGTAGTATCTTGGCAACCAGAGCGTAGAGTCGAATTCTGAACTCTAGATCCAGAAATTCTATTTGATCAGTGTACCTAGAGTTCATGAGGCAACCAAGAAGTGACTTTTGCTAACCAGATTCACACACCCACACAAAACAGTATAAGCCATGATGCCAGGGTTTGAATTTGACAGAGGAATGTACCATTTTAGTGAATTCTCATATCCACTCTCTAGGATACTTCCTTTCTAGTATCACGGTCAAGTTAGTCATCAGGACAACTGATCAGAGAGAGCTGGATGGTTTTGAGAATTACATCATTTGCTTAGAAAAACCTGGCATCCCTGATTCTATCTTTCCAGCGATAACAATTTGATGTCTGACAACATGTCTCTCCCTAGGTCCTACTGAAAATGTTATAGTCCTGCTTCTGTATTTCTAAGTTAAATGCAAAATAATACACTGTATTTCTTCACATCATAACTTAGATAATGTCATCTTTAGGAACTTTCCAGTCCTCAAGGACATATGTAGGTAAACTTGATATGATTTTAGTCAAGTCCTCTTCTTTATGTCTTGGTTCTTTCTGAAACAACCACCTCCATAGCTACAGCTATAAAAGGGCTTCCCAGGTGGTGCTACTGGTAAAGCACCTACCTGCTTAATGCAGGAAACATTAGAGACACGCGTTCGATCCCTGGGTCAGGAAGATTGCCCTGAAGGGCATAACAACTCTCCAGTATTCTTGCCTGGAGAATCCCCATGGACAGAGGAGCCTGGCAGGCCACTTTCCATAGGGTCACAAAGAGTCGGACATGACTGAAGTGACTTAGCATACACACACAGCTATAAAATGTCCTTTAAGGTTGGGAGACCTGTGCAAATAGTTACTCTTACCCATAATGTGTTTTCTCCTGGTCTGCCTCCAGGGAAACTTTATCTCTGGCCCCCTGTAGAGCTGATGAAACCTACAGACAAATCCCTAGAAGTGTTCAGGCAAGAACAAGATAACTAGAGATTTTTCTCTGGTTGAGGATTTTAGCTTGGGTAATAGAAGAAATCAGATAAGAGCTCATCTAACACTGAATCTGTGATCAAGTTTTTCTATTACTGTATGAAACTAAGAGGAAGAAAAATTGTGTCCCTACCTATGTTAGAATTACTTTAAATAAATCTGAATTTATAAATTCACATAAGTATTGAAAACATTTGTCTTTGCTGTTTTGATTTAGCTAAGTTATGCAACTCAAAGCTTTTCCTTCATTACATTAATGTCCTTTCCACTCAATTTGATTCATGCATTAAGAATGATTTGAGCTGCTAACCCTCAAGGTAAAGACTTATGACCTTAGAAATTATATTTCTGCAAAAAAAGAATGTAATATTTCTAAACAGTGCTTCAGAGGAATCGTTGCTTTGAGGGTTTTGTCTGTTGGTTTCCAGGTTAACTCATGGACATATCATCAGAAGGGCTAGAGTCTCCATTTGAGCACTCCTACTGTTTTTCAAATCTTGTGTGACCTTGAGAAATGATACAACACGTTGTTTTTTTTCCATATTTGTTTGCAGCACACTTAATCTGTTTCTCAATGTGATCTCACAAAAGATGAGGAGCCCGACTTTTACTTGCTATTCAAATTCCATGTTATAGGTTCTTTGTTTTCCATATCTTAAGATAGATACAAATGACTGGTGTTCTCCAAGAGGTTTTTCACAAACCAATGTTCCCTTAAATATGAACTTTTTTTTTATAGAGTTCCACAACTAAATGTATTTAGGAAAAAAGTGTGCCAGTGTTAGTCGCTCAGTCATGTCTGACTGTTTGCAACCCCAGGGACTGTAGCCCGCCAGGCTCTTCTGTCCACAAATTTCCCAGGCGAGAATACTGGAGCAGGTTGTCGTTTCCTACTCCAGAGGATCTTCCCAACCCAGGGATCGAACCCAGGTCTCCCACATTCTTTACCATCTGAGCCACCAGGAATGGATGGGTTAACCTGCTCTTAAAATGCAGAATTCTATGAACCTTTGATGTATCCATGGGCTCTGAACACCCCAGGGGAGGCTGTGGTTAGCAGTTCCTCCAACCAACTTGACCTGGAACCCTGTCTCTCACAAAGCATTGCAGGAGATTGTGCAAAACAACTTAGAAAAACTTTATGCAGAAACTCTGCAAGCACCTTGTTTCAAGTTGACTGACAAGTGCTAGTTCTCTTTTATGGGCAAAAAAAATGTTGCTACGTGAAGTAAATCATTACTACCAAGAGTAGTTATTATTTTACCACATAGATTCTGTTCTCATCTTAATTACAGATACCGTTTTTGTCAAGTTTAAGACTGGAAAATATGCTCTGATTATAAAGGAAATGTTTAGAGAAAGGACTGATTTCTAAAATGATGAGGAAAAGGGGAGAAGACAATAAAATTCAAACTAAAACTTGAATTTTAGTTGGCTATATCCTACCTAAAGCAATATATTCCACTATATCCTAGCCTGGGACTTCCCTGCCACTCCAGTGGTTAAGACTCTGTGCTTCTGCTACAGGGGGTATGGGTTTGATCCCTGGTTGGGGAACCAAGATCCCACATGCTGCATTAAGAGGGCCAAAAATAAAAAAATAATAATAATAAATTTAAAAAGATATATATATATGTGTGTGTGTGTGTGTGTATATATATATATAACATCCTTATTTCATTTAGCATAAGTAGACTTAATGTAGAACATGCAGATTTAATGAGATACTTCAGGGAGTTTAATCTGAAATACACCTGCCCATTGTATTAGGAAAGGAGCAGAATGAGTTGTTTCAAATAGGGGTTAACTTTTAACAGCTTTATTGAGATACGGGGCTTCCCTTGTGGCTCAGACTATGAAGAATCCACCTGCAATGCAAGTGACTGGGGTTTAATTCCTGGGTTGGGAAGAGCCCCTCGAGAAGGGAATGGCAACCCACTCCAATATTCTTGCCTGGAGAACGCCCTGGAAGAGGAGCCTGGCAGGCTACGGTCCATGGGGTCACAAAGAGTTGGACACAACTGAGCGACTAACACTTTCACTTTTCATTGAGATAGATTCACTTAACATATCATTCACCATTTTAAAGTATATGATTTTAGAGCGCGGTTGAATACCCATCACTAAAACCAGTTGTCGACATTTTCATTAACCCATAAAGAAACCCCACACCCCTTAGCTGTTCCCCCACCCCAAAACCTCCCCTTTCCCCCAGCCCCATGAAGCCACTAATCTATGCTCTGTTTCTATAGATTTGCTTATTCTGGACATTTCATATGAATGGAATTGTATAACACATGGTCCTTTGTGACTGGCTTCTTTTACTTGGCATGCTAACAGGGTTCTTTCATGGTATAGCAGGTATCAATACTTCATTCTTTTTATTGCAAATTATATTCCATTGTATGGATATCACATTTTATTTATTCATTCGTCAGTTAATGGACATTTGGGTTGTTTCTACTTTGTAGCCATTATAAGACAGCTGTTAACATTCAGGCACAGGTTTTTCCGTGGATATGTTTTCAGTTCCCTTGGGTATATACTCTGGAATTTCTGAGTCATGTGGTAATTCTGTTTAACTGTTTCAGCAGCTGCCAGACTGTTTTCCAAAGGGACTGTTTCATCTTAGACCCCCACTAGTAGTAATGAGGGTTCCACTTTCTACACACCCTGGCCAGCACTTGTTACTATCTGTCCTTTGTATTATTGTCAACCTAGTGGGCGTGAGGTGGTATATCTCATTGTGGTTCTGATGGGTGTTTTTCTGATGGCCAGTGATGCCAAGCACCTTTTCATGTCTTTCTACAGGCACATATATATCTTCTCTGGAGAAATGTCTCTTTAAATTCTTTACCCATTTAAAAAAAAAAATTTTGGTCTTTTCCTTATTGAGTTATGTACTCTAGATACAACATATATTCTTTATGTATTCTAAAAAAGAGTTTTTTTCCAGATATATGATTTGCAAAAATTTTCTCCTATGGGTTGCCTTTTCACTTTTGTTGTAGTGTCTGGGTTATATTTTTTTTTATTCTTTAATTCTTATGTGTTTTTCTTGTTTTCCCTGATAAATTGTAAAACCGTGACCTTTACATTGTGAAAGTCCACAAATTTGGGAGCACCTACTCCTTTTCCATCTCTTTTGCACCCAGTAGAATGGTCACAGCTGGACAACGTCTGTTATAGGATTTGGGTCTACCACCAGTTTAAGTTCAGTCACTCAGTTGTGTCCGACTCTTTGCGACCCCATGGACTGCTGTACGTCAGGCTTCCCTGTCCATCACCAGCTCCTGGAGCTTGCTCAAACTCATGTCCATTGAGCCAGTGATGCCATCCAACCATCTCATTGTCCCCTTCTCCTCCCACCTTCAGTCCTCTCCAGCATTAGGGTCTTTTCCAATGAGTCAGTTCTTCACATCAGGTAGAGTTTCAACTTCAACATCAGTTCTTCCAATGAATATTCAGGACTGATTTCCTTTAGGATGCACTGGTTGGATCTCTTTGCAGTCCAAGGGACTCTCAAGAGTCTTCTCCAACACCACTGTTCAAAAGCACCAATTCTTCAGCATTCAGCTTTCTTTATAGTCCAACTCTCACATCCATACACGACTACTGGAAAAACCATAGCTAATGCGTACATGGTATAATAATACAAACACTGAATATTAATTTATTCACTGAAATGATGTGCATTATTATGCTGAAGATAATAGGGGAATACGGAGGTGATTCAAGAGGAGAATAGTATCCACAAACCAATAGATATGGCTCAATCCTAAACTCAACAGATACAGTGCATGTGTGTGTGCATGCTCACTCCTGTCTGACTCTTTTCCAGCCCATGGACTGTAACCCACAATGCTCCTCTGTTCATGGGATTTTTCCAGGAAAAAAATACTGGAGTGTGTTTCCATTTCCTCCTCCAGGGGATTTTGCTGACCGGGATTGAATCCACGTCTCCCACATTGCAGGAGGGTTCTTAACCACAGCGCCACAGGGAAAGCCCCAACAGAAACAGCACTGTGCTGTGCTCAGTCGCTCACTCAGTAGGGTCCGACTCTTTGGGATCCCATGGACTATAGCCCGCCAGGCTCCTCTGTCCATGGGGATTCTCTAGGCAGGAGTACTGGAGTGGGTTGCCATACCCTCCTCCAGGGAATCTTCCCAACCTTGGGATCAAACCCAGATCTCCTGCACTGTGGGTGGATTCTTTACCATCTGAGCCAGCAGGGAAGCCCACAGATACAGTAGTAGCAGGTTATCTNTCTATTGTTTTCCTCTATTTCTTTGCATTGATCACTGAGGAAGGCTTTCTTATCTCTCCTTGCTATTCTTTGGAACTCTGCATTCAAATAGGTATATCTTTCCTTTTCTCTGCCTTTAGCTTCTCTTCTTTTCTCAGCTAATTGTAAGGCCTCCTCAGACAACTGTTTTGCCTTTTTGCATTTCTTTTCCATGGTGATGGTCTTGATTACTGTCTCCTATACAATGTCATGAACCTCCATCCACAGTTCATCAGGCACTCTGTCTATCAGATCTAATCCCTTGAATCTATTTGCCACTTCCACTGTATAATTGTAAGAGACTGAATGGTCTGGTGGTTTTCCATACTTTCTTCAATTTAAGTCTGAATTTGACAGTAAGGAGTTATGATCTGAGCCACAGTCAGCTCCTGGTCTTGTTTTTGCTGACTGTATAGAGCTTCTCCATCTTTGGTTGCAAAGAATATAATCAATCTGACTTCAGTATTGACCATCCGGTGATGTCCATGTGTAGAGTCTTCTCCTGTGTTGTTGGAAGAGGGTGTTTGCTACAACCAGTGCATTCCCTTGGCAAAACTCTGTTAGCCTTTGCCCTGCTTCATTCTGTACTCTAAGGCCAAATTTGCCTGTTACTCCAGGTATCTCTTGACTTCCTACTTTTGCATTCCAGTCCCCTATAATGAAAAGGACATCTTTTGGGGGTGTTAGTTCTAGAAGGTCTTGTGCCAGCCCCTAGATGTTTCCCTGGCAGATCGTTCGATTTCATTCTTGATGAGATATTATGGTTTACTTTTTTTTTCTTACAGGTGAATCGATTTAGTAAGGTGGAAGATCGAGCAATTTTTGTCACTGACCGTCACCTGTATAAAATGGATCCCACTAAGCAGTACAAGGTGATGAAGACTATCCCTCTATACAATGTAAGTGCTCTCTGCTTCACTCTAAACAAAGGATTTTTACCCTGGTTCTCATGGACCACTGGGGGGTCAACAGATCACAAGAACCTTTGGGGCTTTAGGGAGCCCATGAATTCCTGAAATGTTCTGCCCGTCTCATGTTTTATACAGAAGTACAATTTTCTGTAAGGAGTATCCAAAGCTTCAGATGGAATAACAAAGGCGCATTTTGTTTGAAAGTGTAGGTCCCTGCATTCTATGTGACCTTTCTTTATCCTACTCAGAGCTTAACTACGGTGACACAAAATGTATTTCCTTATTGATTATCGTAAGGCTTGTTTTTATGTGGAAGTGGAATCAGGTAAAGAAACAGTAGAGAATAACTTTATGAAAACATTACCTCTCTTTTTATACGTGCAGTCGTGTCTGACTCTTTATGACCCCATGGACTGTAGCCCACAAGACTCCTCTGTCCCTGGGATTTTCCTGGCAAGAATACTGAAGTGAGTTGCCATTTCTTTCTCCAGGGGATCTTCCCAACCCAGGACTGGAACCCACGTCTCTTGCATCTCTTACATTGACAGGGAGATTCTTTACCTCTTGCACTACCTGGGAAGCCCCTAAATCTCAATATGAGACTTTAAAAATTTTCTTACTCTGCTTTATGGGATCTGCTTTACAAGTAATCATTCTGATTCTTGAAAAAGATCCCCCTGGACTGCTGGATCTTTCCATGTCTCAGGTGATTTTCCTGTCTGCTAGTTCTTAGAGAGAGAGGTCTATGTTTGTCCAATCATGAGATCTATGAGGAGTGTTATTTAAAGATTGTTATAAATCCTCTTGGCCTTTGCAAAAGGAAATAGGAAACATATTGTTTTACAGTGTTTTATTTTGTTAAATCAGGAGTCCTGTTGGTTGTGAGGTTCAAGGAAGGCAAGCTATTCCTGCTTTGCTAAATAACTTAGAACATTGCAGCAGACTTATCGCACGATGATGGAGTTGAAGTTTGACTCCATCACCTGGTCCCCCCTCTGCACATGCATACATACACACTTTTCTCCATTTTAGTTCAGTTCAGTCGCTCAGTTGTGTCCAACTCTTTGCGACCCCATGGACTGCAGCATGTCAGGCTTCCCTGTCCATCACCAACTCCCAGAGCTTGCTGAAACTCATGTCCATTGAGTTGGTGATACCATCCAACCATCTCATCCTCTGTCACCCACTTCTCCTCCTGCCCTCAATCTTTCCCAGCCTCAGGGTCTTTTCCAGTGAGTCAGTTCTTCACATCAGGTGGCCAAAGTATTGTAGTTTTAGTTTCAGCATCAGTCCTTCCAATGAATATTCAGGACAGATTTCCTTTAGGATGGACTGGTTGGATCTCCTTGCAGCCCAAGGGACTCTCAAGAGTCTTCTCCAACACCACAGTTCAAAAGCATCAATTCTTCGGCGCTCAGCTTTGTTTCAGTAGAAAGGCTAATGGATTTCAGCTTAGAAGGAAATGATGTTCTAAGACATTCTTGATTATAGGTAGTCTTCTCAGCAAAGACCTATAATCTCATACCAATCACCATTTAAGCCTACTAACCCCATAGTCTCGAAGAAGGAGATGAAGGAAGATTAGGGAGAAGGTCACATTTTGTCAAAGTCTAGTAAAGTGTGTATTTCTTTTTCTTACTTTCTATTAAAGGGAGAGCAATCAGGCGCATGATAAAAATCCAGTAAGTAGTTAAACAGGTCTTTGAACCAAAGTTATTTTCCACCTTTTTCATGTTGACTGGTGTATAGTTATAGTCACTGTTCCTCTTCATCATCATTATCATCATCAGTGTTATCAATAATATCATATTATATATTTTTTTAAGTAACAACGTTTAGGTAAACATAGAGGTAAATTGAGGTCAATAGGCAGGACACACACTGTCACCGATGCTATCACCCGCATCCCTTTGATTTCGTTTCCACTTTTGTACGTTCCAGCCTAACTTCCAATAGCCAGCATCTTTGTTAAAAGGCTCCCCACGGGCTGCTGGAGCCCTTGACTGAAAACAACCCCCACCCCTAGCCACCTACATGACTAGTGGGTGTGGGCACATAAATCCTCCAAACCCCACCATTCACTGGCCGTGATCATTCTGAGGTGTGCTTTACATCATTTGCAGGAGCTTTTCTGTAGGAATAAGCTGCACTGCCCACCATAGCAGCTGCTTAATCATGGGCCCTGCTGGTCACACCCCCCTCGCCCTGAGCCACCTCCCTTCCCCTGCCCGGCTCCCTGCACCTCCTGGGTCAGTTCTGAGGCTCCTCAGCCTTTGTCTCGGGGCGTGCTCTGTGCTGTGCTAAGTCGCTTCAGTCGTGTCCAACTCTTTGTGACCCCATGGACTGTAGCCCGCCAGGCTCCTCTGTCCATGGGATTCTCCAGGCAAGAATACCGGAGTGGGTTGCCATGCCCTCCTCCAGGGGATCAGCCCGACCCAAGGATCGATCCTGTCCGGAGGGAGCAGATTGAATGGGGCTGGGACTTGCAGCCGCGTCTGTAAAGATATTCTTCAATCTGAAGCAAATGCAGCCAAATATTAAGTCTGAATAATAGGGATGTGAATATTATTTTATTCTTTATCTTTTTTGTTTGAAATATTTTGAAATTTAAAAAGTTTAAGGAGACTTCCCTGGTAGTCCAGTGGTTAAAACTTCGGCTTCCATTGCAAGGGTTGCAAGTTTGATCCCTAAAGAGGGAGCTAAAAATCCCACATGCCTCAGGGCCAAAAAACAAAACAAAACACACACACACACACACAAAATAGAAGCAATACTGAAACAAATTCAGTAATGCCTTAAAAAATAGTCCACATCAAAAAATTTAAAAAAAAAAGTTTACGACAGGAAAGCTTTAAAAATGATAATGCTCATGGCAGGGATGAAGAAGCTGAAAGGAGATGGAGAAAGATTTCAATCTTAACCAAGTTGTGTTTCAGACACTGATGACGCTTGTAAGTAAACATCCCATCGCTCACTGGAGTCTTAACACTGTATAAAAGAGTGAAGCATTCAGCACTTAGGATAAAAATTTAGGAGCAGACACATGTATAATTTGAGGCTGAAATTATCAGTCTAGACGGAGAAGGGGCAGATGATTCAAGAACATCGTGCTTGAATGGTGGGGAAAAGAGAATGACTGAAGGAAATGGAATGAAAAAGAAATCTCCTTTCTGGGCCTCTTTTTTTCCTTTCTCTTCTAATGTGCCAAATGAGTTCTAATTTCTCTCCAGTTCCATAAGGTTATGAATTATTCCAGGAAGGAAAAGAACTCTGGAAACACTGTGTTTCAGAATCAAGTTGGAAAGTTTTCAGAGATAAGGGTAATCAATAAAAACGTAAAACTACAGATCCCACCCTTGTGCCTCTTTTTCTCTGCTCTTCATCCCTGCTTCTGCCCAGCTGCCTGTCCTGTGTCTGAGACTTTTCTGGCCCCAGGGAACAGATTATGATTGTGGGGAGAGGGAGAGAGGTTCCCTCTGACCCTCTTGAGTGTCTGTGGCTGGATTAATAATAAAGTTGACACAAGGCAGATTAACAGGAGGAAACCCAACTTAGTTTCATGGGCATCAGTCAGTTCAGTCGCTCAGTGGTTTCTGACTCTTTGCAACCCCATGGACTGCAGCATGCCAGGCCTCCCAGTCCATCACTAACTCCCGGAGCTTGTTCAACCTCATGTCCATTGAGTCAGTGATGCCATCCAGCCATCTCATCCTCTGTCGCCCCCTTCTCCTCCTGCCTTTCCCAACATCAGGGTCTTTTTTAATGTGTAAGTACTTTGCATCAGGTGGCCAAAGTATTGGAGCTTCAGCATCAGTCCTTCCAATGAATATTCAGGACAGATTTCCTTTAGGATGGACTGGTTTGATCTCCTTGCAGTCCAAGGGACTCTCAAGAGTCTTCTCCAACACCACAGTTCAAAAGAATCAATTCTTCAGCACTCAGCTTTCTTTATAGTCCAACTCTCACATCCATACATGACTACTGGAAAAAACATAGTTTGACTATATGGACCTTTGTCAGCAAAGTGATGTCTCTGCTTTTTAATGGGAGATCATAAAAAGATGCTCAGAGAATATCTAAGAGTGGGTAACTTAATATCTTTGTGTATAAAGAAACAATAAATTTGTGAGGATTTGGCAGAACAAAGAAACTAGGTTCGGGTATGTAATTATAAGGAATTTAAGCCAAGGGGTGAGCTTGGGAGGTAAATCAGTGAAGAAGAAGGTTTATTTATACAGGTTTCTCGGACCTGAATTCTCTATCTTTGGTCCTAATGATGTCTTTCTCTGGGTCCAAGGAGGGCACCTTTCCTACGAGAGATTTATTTCCTGGTTTCAGAGAAATAAAGGGGAGGGCCAAAGTGTCCTTTTTGCATTGGCTGCTTCTCAAGTAACTTTAATTCAAAATAGTCCATATGCTGTTGATACATATTTGGGGGCCTGCCCTAGGCTGCAACATGACCATATACCATCTCAAGTACTGTTTTGATTTGAGTTTAAAGAAAGGATACACACGGTAGCAAGGAAAAGAAATCTCATAGGATCCCAGGAAACTACTCAGGTTTTAAGGCAGCTCTGAGAGACCGTGTTATCCCATGCCCCCCTCAGCAAAGTGATGCTTAGATGGTGTCAGTTTCTGCCACTGTCTCTACTTCTCTTTGTGTGTCTTCTTTTTTTAATGTTTATTTATTTAGCTGCTCCAGGTCTTAGTTGCAGCACATGGGACTTTTTAGTCGTGACATGTGGGATTGTTAGTTGCAGCCTGTGAACTCTTAGTTTCGACGTGAGATCTAGTTCCCTGACCAGGGATCGAACCTGGGCCCCCCTGCACTGAGGGCATGAAGTCTTAGCCACCGAACTACCGGGGAAGTCCCTCTTTGTGTGTCTTCTATCTAACAATGACCCTTCTTGCCATATAGCCGGGGCCAGTGCTAGGCTAAGGTATGAATCAGCCAACCCAATAAACCATTAGTGTTTCATCCTGCAGTGACACTGAACACAGTGTCTCCGATGAGGCCTCACCATGGCAACCA